GTCTATCTCCCAATTTCCATAGTATTTCTGAACCTCATGACTATTTCTGTGTTTATTCACTCCATGCACCCCAGAAGCGAGAACATACAATTATCTCCATTTTACACAATGTGAAGCAGAGACACAAGCGTGTCTTTGCAGATCAGGTCCCAGAGGTCCTTGGCAAAATAGGGAATTGGTGCCTTCCAGTTCCTGCCCTGTGCTGTTGCCTTTATGTTCCCCACTGGAATGAAAAAGCCCCTCAGCTCCTGGAAAAGAAAATGTAATATAAAGGAGAAAAAATGTTTTGGGAAAAGCAGAAAGCGTTTGAGTCCTAAATGAGTTTGGAATGATCTTTTGTTCTTTAAAAGGAACCAAATACCTTTCGTTCCTTTTCTTGCGTCTCTTCGATACAATGAGTGTCAGGAAGCTAGAGAAGATTTTAATAGAGTAGTGGAAGGCATTGTGCAAATAGGAGCCTGGATGAAACAAAAACTATAAAAGACTTTACCCAGGCATAGTTCTCCTGGCATCTCTTCAAAATCGGAAACCTAAACCCCAAATCAAACGCAGTATGTCTGAGTATCTTTCACAAGAATTGTGTCTGAAGCCCTCATTTCTTTATACCCTGAATCTTTCACTTCAGTTTAGTCCTTGAAGGGCCACATTTTGATGCGGTTTTGTTTCTCGGTCTGTTGACACTGGAAGTTGGAAGTTTCTCCAAATGCTTTTGTGGTCCTTCACAGACATACTAAGAGGAACTGAGAGGTTGGCTTCTCTTGTGGCTGCAACAAACAGTCCTGGAGTTTTATGGGAGAAGCTCTTATTTGTCTGCACTATAAATCTGAAGGAGGGCTTTGTAAATGGTTAGTTTGAGTGCTGGTCACTTGAACAGGCAGTTGCTTTAGCTAATGCAGCACTTAAGGTATCTACTGAATGAGACTACCCAGCCGATGTGTTATAAATATCTTACTGACCTGATAACACTGAAAAGGGCAAATGCAGAAGAATAAGGAAATATACTGTCCTGGTATAAACTGCAGCAAGAAGATTTAGGTCAGACACTGGGGCAAAAAAAACCCCACACTTTTTTAATGGCAAGGATAGTTAGGCTGCCCACAGAGACCACAGTCTCTCTGCCAGTGAAGGGACAGGTTGGGCAAACATCTGTCACAAATGACTGTTACAAGCCTTAGCTTCTCTTGGGAGGGGAGCAAAGCTCTGTTAAGAATTAGTTTTGGGGAGCTAATATGCTACAACACCTTTCATTAAAGATACGCATTAACATACTGCAGAACGCTTTTGTTCTGGCTGCATCATACCGCGGTTGAGGCAATTTGCCAGCCTGCTGGAAGGCTTTTGGAAGGCTCTGACTTATTATAGGCAATTGTACCTTTTGTCTGCCTGTTATAGCTTATACACGTAGGCAAACCGATAGCATCTTGATTGACTTTTTGTTCTACAGTCGCTCTCACTTTCTTGTTTTGTAGATGTGTTGGACTTCCTCTCCCAACAGCTTGTTAATCTGAAGTAGGATTCTGTATTTTAAGATGAGAGTTGGCTTCTCCCCTCCCTCAATACCTCCTGATTAATCCCCAGTCCAAGTGACCTCCCTTTCTTGATAAGATCTGGTGTGGTATGGACAGAGAATGGGAAATTAAGGTGAAAATTTGGCTCTAGGAGCCCTCCCCTGGCATATACTTAGGTTTTGGACAATATTTATAAGGGGCTGTTAATGGTCTCTGGCATCCTTATTTTTGCTGATTCTGTGACCCTGCAGTAATCCTGGTGGGAGTTTGGATGACTGGACTCTGATCAGAGAACACCCAGTGAGTCTAGAAACTGCAGGTTGACAAATATGTAGGATGCCTGGGATGGTTTATTTTTCCTCTTTTTGCTGAGGCAAGCGCTGAGCAAAACCTAAGTAATAACAGTTTACAGGCTGTTAATACCAAATATCCTGAGAGTTCAGAAGTGCCTTATTCTGCTCTGCACAGCTTGGCAGGTTATATTCTTTAAGAGCAGGCATCATTATCTGGACAAATCTGTGACATTTAGTTCTTTTGAGGCTAACCTCTGTCCCCAGAGTGAATTGCTCCTTCTCTCTCATGGCAGATTATCTAGCATAAAATGCACATTTAAATTTTCTTTCTGTTGCATTGTCTCTGTCCTGTGCATGAGATGCTTCTTAGTATCTTTACTATCATTGTCCACACGTGGCTTAAAGCCTGTCTTTAACTACAGGTGTACACATTTGATCCTTCCATGCGTGAGCATGTGAAGAAGTCTGCCCTCCCTCAGTTCACAAATCTTTTCTGATTTTCTCTGTGTCACTTGTTCATACCCAGTACATGTCTCCAGGTGTAAAAATAATTATATGTTATGCCTGATTGTATGGGTTAGCAATGAGGTACAATATTTGCATAGATACTTGAGACAGTCCATAGTTAAACAGGCCAGACCATTTCCTTACATTCAGTTTTTCCTCCTTTTCAGACGATTTACGAGGACTTCACTAGGATAATAACGAAGAGGCACATACAGCTGTATTTGCAGATTAGGTACTCTGGTGCACAGGAGGCCATGACTGTTGCTGTCATTCTAATTTCATAACATTGGCCCATGTAGTACAGTGCTGTGAAATGTGCCTAGCGTGCAGCCTTATGAAGTCCTCTTTCTGTACCAGAGAACTTCTGGGTAATTACGAGTTGGGTTTGCCTATCTGATCTAATTTATCACTTAGGGGTTTATATCATGCCTATTACTGTGATATCTAAGTGCTGCTGAGATACTGCAGGATGTCTCTTTCATCAAGTGCTTATTTCTATGATAAGTTAATGTTATTGAGCTGAAGTCTGTGCTGTTCTGTGCAGCATCTTAATCGCTGCTCCCCCCTGAGCCCTGTGTGTATAGTTATTCTACTTGTGTGGTGGCTTCACTGAACTGGTTTTAGGGATTTGAGATCAGTTACTTGAAGGCCAAAGTTGTGCTGCAGAAATCATGGCTCAGCTGATGATAAATTGACCTGCTCGATCGATGAGAGGGAAGTCCAAGGCTGAGCAGACTGTGGGTGAGCATATGGATATATGTGCTCTGTCCCCTTAGAAATGCACTTTCCACATGCAGATTTACATAGGGGTGTGAGTAGAGACTGTCTGCTACGTTCAACATAATCTCTCATTTGTGGGTAAAAGGGACCACCAGTTCCCTGGGCTCCCACTCTGCTGACTTCCACTTATTGATTAAAGCATAATTAAAAATTAAAACAACATCTCCGTGCCCACTCAGCAACCTACTGCCTGGCCACTTCACCTGCTTCTGGTAGAAACCACAGTCCTGCTCTCCGTGGGGTGTCGTGTTTGCACTGCAGGGTAGATGGGGAGGTTGCTGTCTCTGGGTGATTTCTTCTGCCTTTCTTCTCCTTCCACCAGCCTTCAGAGTGGGTTTTTCTTTCATGACCAGATGAAGCGGTTGTTTGTTTGTTTTGAAGGTGACAAGTGTTTTATGTGAATTCTGGCTGCTCCAAAATGCCAAACCCCAGCTGGGCTTTGAGTTTCACAGAATAACCGCTGACACCTAATGAGCCTCTAATAAGTGCTTCTCCTTCCCTTCTTGTCGTTTAAATAAATAAATGACTGAAATTTGGGGGTGGTGGGAGGTGGTGTTGGATTGCAGTGGAATGAAGCTTTTCTGTTTACCCACCAAGCAGGTACACTGCTAAAAGCAGTCACACAAGCTTCCCACGTACACATGCAGCCTCCCCCCCCAATGGCCTGGAGGGCTTCCTTTGAGGATGGAGCAGGAAAGTTCTTTCTCAAGCCCAGTTAGTTTCTTGCCCACTCAGCTTGAGCTGCGAGCCAAGGTGCTAATTAGTGTCAACTGTGATGGGGGGAAATGAGAACAAAGGCAAGACTTTGATAGTTCAAAGTGTAGTTGATGTTCAGGTGTTTTCTTTTCCTGGAATTTTTGCAAGAAGCAGTCTACCATTGGCAGTGGGCATGCTACACGTATCTTCTCTTAAGGGAATGGATTTGCTTCAAAACAACTCTTATTTGTGGCAGTAGGTATAAAACTAAGGAGTCCCCACCCCTCCTTTTCTGCTTTCTGAAGGTGTGATCTCTGCTTAAGAAATGGAGAATGAAAAGATGTAAAATTTCAATACATCTTTATGGAAAAATTCTGAGAATAAAGATCTTAGACACTGCTTGAATTTCTTTGTCAGAAACAGAGCAATTCCTTGTTTCCAGCTAGGATATGTAAACACATCATTGTGAAAGGACAAGAGTAGGTATATTAGTGAGCCCTTAGCAGGGAATAGTACTGTTAAACAAGCGTCTCTGTATATGTTTATCTCCTGTGAAGACGCTCCTAAAACCGCAGAACATCCACCTCTTCAGTCGCCTCTCCTCTGCCATTTGGAATAACTTAGTCCTGACTAAGAATGGGCAACCTATTTCCAGATGGAGTTATTTTTGGATAAAGCTAACTTTGGTTAAGGTGAATTAATGTGATTAATGTCACTGAAAACAAATGAAAACAAAATTTTGAAAAAGAAAATAAGATTTGTTTTGACTTTTTCAAGTGAGGTTTTAAAAATTACATTTTATTTCACTTTAGTTCTGTATGTATTTCTTGTTTCTTTTATCAGGAAGATAATCATTTTTATTGTGGTTAGCAGGCTGAACTTTTCAGGAGACAACAAGATATCTGGTTGTTGCTTGGCTGAGAAAGCTGAAAGATGTCATGTCTGTTTGGCTGTACTGATGGTACCCCTCTGGTCATCCGTTCACTCTCCAGAGGATTCAACCATCAGAGAGATGAGACACTCACAGATGTATTTCTTAATCTCTTCTCTCTCTTGGTTTCAATGCATTTCCTCAGAGCCTTCTTCCCTAAAACATCTCTGTCTCATACAGGCTTGGGCACTCCAGAGTGGTTCTCCTGCCTGGGCCTGGGGATGTGCTTAATGCAGAGTGGTGGAGCAGCTAGAAGTCTATCTTATGTTTTGTATTTCTCCACAGGTGGGGAAATGGAAGGAAAAGAAATTGCAGATGAAGTACTACGTGTGGCCCCGCTTTGAGCTTTATCCTGACTCTGAGGAGCGTGAGGATGATCACCTGAGTATAGTGACTCTGGAAGAGGCACCGTTTGTCATTGTGGAGAATGTGGACCCCCTAAGTGGCACCTGCATGAGGAACACAGTCCCTTGCCAAAAACGCATTGTGACTGAGTATGTACCCCTAAGTTTGTCTCCTCCTATTGTCCTCTCCCTTCTCAGCAAGAAGTAGGGTACTGGGCCAGTACTGGCACATCCTAATAATCCTTTTTAGAAAAATCACCTCAGCTTGCTCAGCCTGGCCTGTGCCCATTCATGATTAGCCCCTCTCCTGCACAGGTATCACAAGTTAAATTCTCCACATTGTGGAGGGGAATTGTGGGAGGGGAAGCTCATACTGATCATAGAGAGGAATTAAGGGAATTTTCTCTGGTTTTTTTAACTCATTTTTTGTTGTGATGGTTCAGGAATAAAACTGATGAGGAGCCGGATTATATGAAGAAGTGTTGTAAGGGGTTCTGCATCGACATCCTCAAGAAAATCTCAAAGTCTGTCAAGTTCACCTATGACCTGTACTTGGTGACTAATGGCAAGCATGGGAAAAAGATCAATGGGACGTGGAATGGAATGATTGGAGAGGTCAGCAGCAAAAGGAGGGTGTGGTGGTCTTCATTCCTGGGCTGGGTGCCATAGGTCAGGTCTGACCTCCAGTCATTATTCTGTTCCCTTTCAGGGAGGGGACAGAAGTGACTCTGTAGAAATGATTGACTCCTTTCTGGGCACTGTGTGAATTAAACTGCTCTGACTCTGTGACCGTGACCACCTTTCCTGCTCAGAGATTAATTATTATTCCTTGTGGTGTCACAAATTTGGCCTTTATAGTCAAAGAAAGAATGTGATATCCATGCACCAAAGAGGCTGCAGCCTAGATTAAGCTTCGATCATATATAAGATGTATAAAGAATGAAATAAGACTTTGCAGTGTTAGAAGGAGGAGAAAGCAAGGACAGAAAAATGAGATAAGACATCTTCTCAGTGGATGATGTGTTTATCCTAAGACCTCTGCGGATTTATTTTTTATACACATAGCAGCTTTGAGGGGAAGATAAATGTCTATAGATTCCCTGAAAGAAGAAGGTGTCCTGATGAAAGATTAGAAAGGAGAAATGATAGAAACAATATAGGGAATGGGATTAGAGGAGTGAAAGAACTGCACGGAAAGGCAGAACGGTGAGAAGGGGCACACTCATGATGCTTGAGTAGGGCTAGCCCTGGGTCTGTGTGTGTGAAATCTTCTTTTCTTTTCTCTAGGTCGTCACCAAGCGGGCCTATATGGCTGTGGGATCCCTCACAATTAACGAGGAAAGATCAGAAGTAGTGGATTTCTCTGTGCCCTTCATTGAGACGGGAATCAGCGTCATGGTGTCACGTAGCAATGGAACTGTCTCACCTTCTGCCTTCTTAGGTATCATTTTAATCTAAAATTAAAATTTAGTCCAGTGTTCATAAAAAATTAGGTGAAGGTTACTTGTGATTCTGAGCCTGAAAGTTCCTTTTTAGGAATACCTGTGGGACTGGTATGTAAAAATAAACTGTGATGTTTTAGTTCTTAATCCCAAGCAAGCAAAATCCAGGCAAATGCAAATAGGCACTGCCTAGAAGTTCCAAGGCATTTCTCAGTAATCCTAGCAAAGAATGGGCTCCTCGGGGTTGCCATCTACCCTACAGCATGTGGTATCCCAGTGACTCAGCTAATGGCATGTTCAAGGAGTGTAGGCCAGAAAAAAAAAATGATTCAAACATTATAGCTGGTAAGCCAGCATATACTTCTTAGTGATGACAATTAGCAATAAATGGCTGTACTTTCAGAGACATTATTTGTAAAGATTTTAACTCAGTCCTCACTTGTCAGAGACACTGGAGGAAGTTAGATATCTAACAGAACTTGAAGGGTCGAGCCATCAGTTCTTTGCTGACACTGCATCCCAATAAAACGGTTTCTGTTGTTCTTCAGTGCAGGAGGGTAGTTGGAGAATGCAGAAATATTACTGCATTTCCCAGTGTCTTCTAGGACAGTATCTACTGTTTGGCTTTACAAAATGCTTTATGATGCAGCGAACATGCTACATGAGTTACATAATTACTGTCTCCTCTCTGCCAGGAATCTGGGAACACTTATAAACAGAAGTAATTTTATATGGATAGGTTTTTTTCCCCAAACTTCTTCAAGAAGTTGTTTCATTACTACTCACTCTTCATCAGTTTTTGCCATTAGCCAAGGAAAATTGGCTTCCAACTTTCCACCAGTATTACCTGGGGTGTGTAAAAAAAATAAGAAAATAAACACGACATTTTTTAATTGCAATTAAATTGAGATTGGAAAATTGACTGTAATGTGGGCCAGAGTTCTAGGTTTCCTTAATCTGGTACAGTCCCATCTTTATCTCTTCAGGCTTGGAGGTGGAGAAAACTGGCAAAGATCAAACAATTGCAGAATGGAAACACTTAACAATTCTAGAATGAGCCAGTGTTTCAATTGCTGCAAGAATAGAATAGCTGAGAAACTACTATCACTAGGGCTGAACCTCAGAAATTTGGAGATGCTCTTTGGCTCAGTAGCATCTTGAAAGTTGGATGCTCGTCTGAAACTCTGCCAGTTCTGTTTCATTTTTCCCACTCTCTCCAGATGGTGCTGGAGGACTTCCTGGGAACAGTCTTTTATCAATGCATTTTATTTTATCAATGCGTGTCACAGTGGCTGCGTGTGGTTCCAAATGGAGCCGTGTGTCACAGATGTGGCTGTAAGAATGAATGTAGTCATTACAGAAAAAGAAACAATGCTTCTACCAATTCAGGATGTTTTTCAGATTAGGGTTGAAGGCTTTACTATGACTTCTGTTTCTCCCAAGCCCATTTTGCCACACACGCTCATTGGGGTGCTCCGGAAGGCAAAGAAAGGAAGGGTAAGGTGACTGCTGTGTATCAAGCCTTTCAGCATGGGTTTCTTTTCCTCTCCAGAGCCATTCAGTGCTGACGTATGGGTGATGATGTTTGTGATGCTGCTTATCATCTCTGCAGTGGCCGTCTTTGTCTTCGAGTACTTCAGCCCTGTGGGCTATAATCGGTGCCTTGCTGATGGCAGAGGTAAGGGAAGCCACTCCTTGCCACAGTTCTCTCTTGCTTTCAATCCTGGGTCCTTCATTACTGGCATTTCCTTCGCTTAAATGTGATACAGATCTAGTCCACTCTAAAAGGTGCTTAAAGAGGGCAGGGAGGGAGGCGGAAAACATCTCTGTAGCAAACAGATGTGGATAATGGATAATTTGCTTGGCTCAGGAGACTGAGCTGTGATGCTTTCATCTCTAAAGCAAACGCTAGCTCCAATCATTTCTTATGAAGGGGATAGGGATCCTGGTAGCTGGTGCTGGCAGTGCCTACAGAGCTGCTCTCTCTGAGGCAATCAGAGGGCTCTCCATTTTCAATCTGCCCTTCAGTGCTACATCTCTTAGGAGAGCAAGCAGCACTTCTGGCCTCCCAATGTAGTGCCGTACTCCAGAGCCCACATCTGTCAGCTGGGCATCACCCTCTCCAGATTGGCTCTCTGGCTTGCCAAAGCCAGCTGTGAAAATGAGAAGCTCATTTTTTCTGGGACTGGGCAAGCAATTATATTGTAAAGGCAGTAGGAAAGATAGGAATGAGTGACTTAACTCTCTGGTTCTGATCTTCAGGAGACAGTTAAAGAAAGGATGGACAAAACAACTTGAGAGGCAGAATTTTTTCATTTTTTCATTTAGTGGTATAAGGACAATTAGCAAGTTGAGCCTGTTGTCACCTCTTTATTTCATGCCCTAACAAATCGGCACTTTAAACCTTTCCGGAACTTATTGGTCAGTTGAGAGTGGTAGGATTGTGAGTTTTTAGTAAATGCATTCATTTGCTCCCAATTTATTACTTTGAGTGAATGTAAGGGACATTAAAATAATCCAGTTCCAATACCCTGCCATGGGCGAGGATACCTTCCATAGATCAGGTTGGAAAAAAAAAAAAGCGTTTATAGAAATGCAGGCAGAACCACATATATGGGGAAGTGAAGAACTTTTTTTTCTTGTGATGGAACCATGGGGTACCTTCATGGCAACACAGATCTTTGGATTCAAGTAAATACTGATAAACCTGTGAGTCTCCTGGGAGGTATTAATACAGATGTGGAACTGGAAGCAGTTTTTAATATAGGTATGTAGTTGTACAGTTATTAAGTTAGGTGAACTGTAGCTGGAGTATCAACATTTCTGAGTAATCATGAATGGTACTGCACCATCAAGAAGATATTATCCCTGACATACATAACACAGAGATGTAGAAAGCAGCCTGTGGAGGCTGAAATGCCTCTTTGGTAATGAATACTGTTGCTAATGTTATTTTGGCTGCATTCAAATAGTCTACAGTAGTATTAATCTGCTCCTAGATCTGGATTTTCTCTTTAAGGATACCTTTCTCCAAGTTAGGTGAGCATGTCCTGATCTAGCCTCCAACTACACTGATTTGTTGTTCTTGGGTCACTCCAAGTTTGAAATGTCATTCCTGGTATGGATTAGAGACTCCCGTTGCTGTCTTGATTTGTGGCTCAAAGCAAATGGGGTGACTGGTGAACAGAAGATAATAGCAAAGAACTTCTTGAAATTTCCTTACCGATTACAGTTCCACTGATGTTTTACATGGCTTGTACTTGTGTCTTAGGGCAAGTCCATACCTATACCTTGAAGTACTGTATCTTACAGAGACACATGATTCAGGCATCTCACTCATTTAGTAAAGAGGAATTAAAAGTTACCACTCCAACATGTAAGATGCAAGGAGTGTCAAACCAATTTCTTACACCAAGTTTGTCTCCTTGCATCTAGAGGCTCCAGTTTTGCCAGATGATGATTCTACTTAGAACTTAATGTGCAATTCCCAGATTACACAATGAGCCCCTTGCACTTTTCAGCTGCATTAAGGGCACGCACAGTTTGTGCCTTCAGATGATCCATACTTTTCCCTGTTCAGTGCTTTGAAGAGAAGTCATCAATTGACTTTCTTCCCTTCTGTTTCTCTGCTGGAGCCAACCTTAATCACAGGCAGCAGCACTCGGCTCCCACCTTCCCAAGAGAGGACATGAAGCATGGGATGCTAAACCAAATGGTTGCAGAGCCAGGGTAGCACCATCAGAAAAGTGACAGGCAGTACTTGAATTGTGCCAGAGAATCTTCTCCCAGGAGAATCTTCTCAGTGCCTGAAGTACGATCTTTTGAGTAATTCCAGCTGCAGTCTCAATGACAGTTCCTCTTGTGCTCAATTTGAGCATATGTTTTGGTTCCCACTAATGGAACCTACATATGCCAGGGATGTGGGACTGCTGAGAGCCAGACAGGATTTCACAAGGTTTCAAGCACGGTGTTTCATGAGCATGCTTGGCTTTTGGGCTATGTGTGAGCTTTTACTCTGAAAAGTGAATAAGGGGAAAATATCAGCTTTGTAAACATTGGATTTGTTCTTGAGGCTGCTGATCTTCCTGAGAGAGACCAAAGTATATGTTATGTAGCTTAGATGCAGTACATGGAGACGGACTGGGTCCTTCTCTGTCTCATGTAACATCAGCAGACTCAGTAACCAAACACTCTTGCAGATGTATTTGCAGACTCTTGTTATTTCAGATGATGCTCTTTCTTGCACCTATACAAGTGCAGTGAAGGCCATATTTTGCACAGATGTATGGTAGGAGTTTAGGAACAAAACCACTGTTAAACAACTAGAAATGAGGGTAGAGTTCTTCTGAGAAAACTATTTCTGGTGACTACACTTGAACTGAAATGGAGTGTTCTACATTTTCTAATCAGGTACAAAAAAGCCCTTATATAAACCTTCACTGGAAATCTTTGGGACAGAATGAATACAGAAGCCTGAGGACATTTTAGAAAATCACTTTTCAGGGTCATGCTTTGCTTAGATATAGTGTCATGAATACAGGGGAGCATAGCTATGGACATTCATCTCACAGGAATAGATACTAACCTTAACTCTGAAGTCATGTATGTAAAGAGAAATGCAGACTGCTTGTTCTGAGATGCTCACTGTGGAATCTTGTTTCTCAATCACTCTAGAGCCAGGAGGTCCCTCTTTCACCATTGGCAAAGCTATCTGGTTGCTGTGGGGGCTGGTGTTCAACAACTCTGTGCCAGTGCAGAATCCCAAAGGTACCACTAGCAAGATCATGGTGTCAGTGTGGGCCTTCTTTGCTGTCATCTTCCTGGCCAGCTACACTGCCAATCTGGCTGCCTTCATGATCCAAGAGGAATATGTTGACCAGGTGTCCGGCTTGAGCGACAAAAAGGTAATGGATCCCCCCAGAGCAGCCTTCTTCACAGAAGAGGTTGTATTGCTCTTTCTTCTCTTACTGCTAAAATACTAAGACTTTTTCAGTTGCAGCATTACTGTAGTCCCTGGTTTAAATAGCACAACTGTTCTTCACTGGTATTCAGTTCAAATTTTACACATTTTAAGCATTTCAGGAGTGAATTATGGAAACAAAACTGATCTGTGCTTGCTTGCATGATCCCAAACTACACCTTGATTGGCAGCAAGAAATGAATTAATGCTGCTTTGAAGGTGATGTGTATAATGGCTGCAACCCGTTTTTTCAGGATGAAGTAATTTGTCTGTGTGGGAACTGTGACTACTGTGCTAGCAAATATGATCTGTTAGTTTATTCTGGGGACAACTTCTGCCTATGGGGGTATATCAGCTTGGCTTTGATGGTTTACTATTGCTTGCATTTTAAGTTAGACTGTCATTTTTTCAAGGCCTTTGGAGGCTTAGCACAAAAAATCATTCCCTCTTTCACTGTGTTTCACTGCCTTGTTTACATGCGGTGCGTTTTGTACTCACAGAGCATTTGCTTTTGCTAGGCTTTGCGCACTGAGGATTTTGAGGAGATTGTTCATGCATGCAGGTTAGCGCTGTCTGGCTCATGAGGGTCTGAAGCTGTGTGCACTGCTTTATTTTTGTTTTGTTGCAAGGTTACTCACAAAGAATTGAATTCTGTGAGTCTCGACTGCCCATACTGTATTTGTTACTCAGTCACTGGGTCTTCTTTAGGGGTCATGTCATTGTCAGGCAGCCACGTAGCAACAGGGCACATACGCTGCTATTGGAGATAACAGCAAAAAGAGGAGTGTGTGTGTTGATTTGCTACTACTGGTCTGGTTATAGTTACTGTCTCTTTAGTGCCCCTTGACAGTCTAGAAATAAATTGTGGTCGGTCCCCCTGTGTACACAGTGTCAAGTGCATCAGGCTAGGAATTCTGTGGTGGATTTGTTTCTAGGAGGTTTTTTCATTGGCTTTTTTTTCCTTTCTAGATGTTTCTGTTTTCTCCCTGGAAAGAAATATGACAGAATAATACAACCCATGCAGAGGTGCTCCTGTTATTTGTTTTCATTCCAACCTCAATTTGTTCCACAGTGTCTCACATTTGCAGTATTCTGTGTTGAGGAGGGGGTGAGGAGGATGCTCTTCTGTTAGGTGGAGGTTGTTGCACAGGCTCCTGAGAAGCCGTGGATTCTCTCAGGTTGAAAGACACTGTTCAAAACCAACCAGCCCTACCAGAGTTAACATTAGTTTGTCACCATTAAGTTTTCAACTGTCTGAACTAAATGGGGTAGTTCATACCTCTGATCTATTGTTTCAGACTGTGCATAGGCTCATGGAGAGAGCTATGCTTAGGCTCATAGAGATAGCTATGCTTTCTTTCTCATGTTTTTCAAAACACTCTCCATACCTGCAGAGATATGTGTGTGAAATATCAATTGAAGTGGTAGTTCCTGGAGCTTCATAGAGCCTTTGGATGTAGGTTTCTAGCCTTATTTTGATCGATATCACTGTAGGGCTGCTTATGTGTATTGGATTAAGGTCATTTTCTTCTGCTTTTCTTTGCTTACTTACCTGTGTTTGCTTTTGATATCCTAAAGCATGCACTGTTTTTCTTGGGGAAGAGAAAGGCCATAGTACATACTGAAGTGGCTATGATACACCTCAAACACAGCTGCTAGTGCAAGTGCAGCATATGGGCAAAATTATGATCTACCAGAGCATCTGGAACCAGATGAAAATTGGCTGTTAAAAATGAAGGCCAACTGCTGTGTCTTGAGAATAGACAAGTGGGAAAAACTCCATCCAAAAGGGTGAGTAAGAGATTGATCTGCTGGACTTACGGACTTCCACTCTGTGTATGCAGAAACTCTGCAGAATTTGAGACCAGCCACCCAGGTACCCAAGCCCTGCTTCAGGATGACCTGGTTTGGGAGGAATTCTCTTCTGAATTTCTTCTTTTCTCCTTCTTCTGAAGTCTGCACAGTGCTTGCAACCCCCTCAGTACACATACCCTGGAGATGGAGTTGTGCTGTGCTCTTCCTCCCTTCTCCTGCCAGCTTAAATTAGTCAGTTCAGATTTACAAAGGAGGCAGTTGCTGACCTGTGCTGGTTGGCTAAGAGGGATAGCTTAAGTTTTCAGGCTCTTACCTCCATTGTGACTGCTGATATCATCCACAGCAGAACTGAGGCATATCAGCTCCTGGCCTTCTATAGCCGATATGGGCAGCTGTGTCCAGCACAAGGAGTCACACAGAATGGAATCCAAGCTGATGGATGAAGATCTAGATACTTAAAGGATATCATTCCTCCTTATCTAGAAACAGAATCTGCTTGCATGACAGTACCTGAGGAAAACAGAACTCCAGAGCAGCCAAAATGCCAGATGCATTCCCAAAATCCATTACTATGCCTGGTGGGGGAATGCTCATCAAAGTCAAGCTGGCTCCTGCCTGCAACACCCACCCAGAGATCTCTAGATCAGTAGACAGTAGACAGTGTGGTCCTTGCTTAGAAAGAGCTGAGAAGGGCCTATGGCTGTTGACCTGCTACGTCCCTAGAAGTGAGGGCTGAATCATTCCAGCTGTCTGAGGACTTGGAAGGTGTCTTTGCTGTTTCCCAGCATTTCTGTACAAGTGACATGCAGGACAGGGACTAATGTCATGTCCTTGCTGTGCTGCAGGGATGCTTGAGCAGACCTGCTCGAGCAGGGACCTCTATGCTAGGGTGGTAGGTAGTATGGTGGGTGACTGTGCTGAGCTCCATGGCCTTTGCTGCTCTGTCTCCTGGCCCTGAGGGTGTGTTTGGGTGATGCTCACCATGCACAGTGCTGCCTGTTTGTTGTCAGCTGGCTTAAAATCGGTGCCAGAGCTGAGCCAGGAATCCACAGTTAGCACGTTAATCCTCATGGCTGCTTAAATCACATGTCAAACTGGCTCCTACAGCTGTTGTAGACATGGCAGAGTCAGGGAGGAGAAACTTGCTCCTCCTGGAGAGCAGCTCTAATCCTGCAAGACCTGGCCAAGAGCTGATCTGAGGCCTGCCCTCATCACCCTCCCCGTGCAGCAGTGAAGCTGGTTATGAGCCTGGCTGCCACTGGGGACCACCACGACCCTCCTGCAAATGGCTGGCCAGCAAGATGGCCTGTCACAGGTTGCTGCAGCCAGCGCACGCGCCTGGTTTCATCTGACTGCAATCAGGAGATATAACCCAATTTCCTATAATGGGAGAGCTTCAGACTCGTTAGAGAAACAAGTGCCTGCGGTATTTCAGTCTAACGAAGGCAATAAATACAGGAAAGATTATATAAATGAGCTAATGTGTGAAATAATCTAATAGCTATACATAATTTCCATTCATATACAGTAATAATAGAATAAAAGCAAATGTGGACAGCCAGCAGGGCATTTAAATAAAATAATTTAGAATGCAGTAGGTTAATAATAATAAAAAAAACAGTACCCGTGCCTATAAATTAGTTGGAAATGCCAAAGAGGCTAATAAAGTATCAGAATGGTAATTTTGTAATTGACATAAAAAGGAGAGAAATGGATTTCTGTATGCCTGCAAATTAATATAGATTGCTGCAATTTCACATGTATTTAACTTATTTGCTTCTTAAGATATTAATGAAACGTTGAGACAAAGAACTTATTTCTATGAAGCCTAGGTCAGCTATTTTTTGTTGTGGGTTTTTTGTTGTTGTTGTTGTTTGTTTGTTTGTTTGTTTTTCCCAATGAATATCCATTATTTCCAGAAAAAAAATGAAGTTTTAGAGTTGAAACTGGCCAAAATCTGGTATTTGCCAAAGTAGATCATTTTAGTGTACTTGAAACAAAGTATTTTGATTGGTAACTCTGATGTGTATTTTTGATTTATTTTCTACAGGCTTTAATCATAAAATAGACCTACATTTAAGAAAAGGATTTTTATTTTTTTTTTTTTCTGTAATGAAGGAAAGAGTTAATTGAAAGACAAGGCAACACGTTATCCTGAAGTGAATGAAACATTTCAGGTGGACACAAAGCAAAAATCTCAGTAAAAAAAAAAACCAAAAAACAAAACCAGTACCCTGCAAAGATGAATCTGCTTTATTTCTGCAGTAATAGGTGCTTGGCCATGAAACTGAAAAATGAATTATTTTCTACATTCTGCTGTGCAGCACATTAAATGTAAATTATACAAGGATCCCAATATGCAGAACACTTAAGCATGTGCTTAACTTTGCGCTCATGAGTGGGGACATTAAAGTCAATGGGCTATTATTCACATGATTGAAGTTAAGTGTCTTTCTGAGCTTTTTTACAACAAATACTTGCTCTGGAGAAGGCTTGGATAAATTCAGAGCAGGTACCTTCGTCTGAAATTTTCCGAGGAGACCATAAGTGGGGCTCAGTGTAGCACCCTGGAAGGTGTGCTAGAGGAGTGGGTGTCTAATTAGTTGGCTTGGAGGCAGCACAAACTTTCCTCAGGATTAAGCAGTTACTGTCAGTGAATATTTGTGGTTTCACGGATTTCTTGCATGACACAAAGGAAGTTTTATGTGGCAATGTCCAAAAGGACAAAATATTTAACCCTCTCAACAGCAGTAGTATTTTTGTTATGTGGAGACCTATATGGAGATTACAAGCTAGCTAGATGCAAGCAAGGCCATGCCACTTCCAACCTAGTTATTTTGTGATAAATCAGAAACGATCTTCAATATGGGTAGAGTCCTGGCCTGGAGCACACCTTATATAGACAAAAATTAAAGAAATCATGCCCCCATAAAGTTGATTCTCTTCCACAGTGCTTCTCTGGTGGGGACATCTTCCTGTAAATGAGCTGAACTGCATTCAGTTCTTTGTTTCAAGATGACCTTTGTATATAACATTAACAGTACTGACTAGTGCGTGATATAACAAACACTGGTTCACAGTGAAGTGCGGAAAATTCAGACCTCTGAAAGTCTGAAGTTTTATGCCTTG